TTGTCAGCAGCTCTTGCGATATTTCCATGATCGTTATATATTTTTTCGATTTAATTTTGGTAATCTTTTAACGGAATCCAAATCCAAAGAAAGATATGGGGCTAGGTATGGGGCCTCTTAAACGGAAGCCGCGACAACTGTCGCAGGGTGTTAGACGAAGTCACTAAAATCTCAAATAGTTTGTGTGTCCGGTCTTAGATATGCGCGATAGACCATTTTTTCGCCAAGGTCGTCTTGTTGCAATGTGTAATGGGGTATTAAATACGAATCCATATTTGTATCCACATCGCCGAGGGTTACCGAGATAAAATGCTCGCACAATTCCCAGTGCCATTCGCAGATGTGTGATCGTCATCGATGTGGTCATCACATTGCTAGCGTAACTTGTGGTGCCGTGGTCCATGGATTCTGAGTTGTGAGCATCCAATAGTAATGTCGATTCAACCTACGCCTCGTGCTAACGGCTTTTTTGCAATATCGAAGACAAACACGAGAATAGCCTCTCATTTATGCTGGCGCAAACGTCAGCGAATGCTTCAGGTGTTTTGCCAATTTTTATCGGAGACTTAAAAGTGCGAGAAGACATTTCCGAGAAAAAAAGGCGGCAAATTAGCAGTTTTTACTCCATGCCTAGGCCTTTTGGTTCTGCTCACGATATTGCTTCGGTAGCTGCTGCCATGGCAAAGGCTACGGCTAAAAAGCTATGTGTACGGTTTAAAAATATTTATATCATGTCCCCGTTCAATATCGACGAATTAACCAATTTTAAATCCAAGAAAAAGGACACTTCAATCAGTACATTGTTTGCTTACTTACAGGCGGCCTTCGCCAAGTTTGTTCTGTCAAGCGCTGTGGCTTCAACGGACCGTGACTTCACGAGCTCATCGGTCATTGTATACACTGAGTGGTCGGCGAGGTGCGTTGGGATTAGCCGTTTTGTGCTGTCCCCGCTACCCATAGTAGTGTATCTTAAATAGTGGCATCAATGTCCATACTTAAACCATTGCGTATCTTTTTCAGATCTGCTAGAGCATCTGCATGCAATTTTGCCTTAGGAGTATTCAAAACAGCCATATTGGTTGTCAAAGGGTTTTTAGCGCTCGTGGTGGCTTTGTCGGGCGTGTACGCTTTCTAGTTTCGCATTCCTGTGTATCGGAGAAGACATGACCGGGTGTAGGGGAATTTTTTTTCCTGCTCCACGACTTTTTTTTCCAGAACAGATTTAATTTGGAAAGGTAGCACGTGTCACGTCCTTGCACATCGGCTCAGTGAGGCGCGCTTCAGGCGTCTTATGCATGCCAGACCGGGTATGTTATTTTTCTTTGCTTCCTTTTACTTTCTTACGTTCCCCGGATCAGATCAGCCGTCTATAGGCTGATAAATCATTCCTCCACAAGTAGCATTTTGTTCGGGAGGGGAAAGAACATGTTGGTGGCTTAGGGAGAATGATCGTTGTTCCGGTGAGATTGATTCATCTCTTGCTTGGGCACTAGATGCAAATATACACAACAGAAGTGGCGTCTTACGATCCTCGTCTTGTAACTTGCCTTCGTCCCGTTCAAAAACGGATAGCATTTAAATGTGTTCAAAACGTCCCGGTACGTCTGCGTGATAAAGGGTCAGTTCGGAAACCTGCGTCAGCGAGTGGGACCGCATCGACAAATGCGGTGGTATTCACTATGTGCGGTGACGTCCTGTCCGAGGCACTGCGAAATTATATGGAAAGGTGAATGGCATCTTTAAACACGGGACCTTTTGAAATGGCTAAAATAGTACCTGAACAAAGAAACTTCGGAACCACAATATGCTTGAGTTGACCAAAATTTCGTGGGCAGTCCTTTGCATAGAAAGTCACCTGAAAAAATCCTTTTTTTTGTTCAGCCGACGTCAATATGGCCCGAAAGACCGAGAAATAGGAACACTAGACACGAGCGGACAGAAATGCTTCGAGTCCGCCAGCTAGGTCTCCAGTGGCAAGCATCAAAATCTATCAAAGGAGCGGACGACAGCCAAAGCATTGTCGTCAGGGACACGACGAGGTGAGTATTTGCACTCAAGGATTGTGGGGTAGTGAAGTAGCAGGCTGATTCCACTGTGGTCGAAAGCATTGATGCGCCATCCGAAAGCAGCCTCTCGATCTGAAAATGCAAGGGATAAGCGACGTGCTACGTCTAATATGTGCGATTCATCGCGCGAACCAGCGGGCGAGTTAGGAATTCATCAGGCATATTTTTTTGCTTGTTTTCCAATTACTAAAGAAACAGTGTATTTTCGGCAATCAAAAGTGACATTTGAATCTAGTAGGGGATAATTGAATCAACGATGTCTTTACGAAAAAAATAACAGGTCAAGCATTGCGACTTGCATATCAAAATAGTGTATACCCGACTGGAGGGCTTTAAGCACTATTCTTCACATAATTTAAGCGGCTAAAGCTTCTTCTTTTACGGCAAGCATCGGACGAAGGTTTGAGTACGGCTTAGTTTTCCACGGCTGCATTGCTACCCTGACCAAGAGTAGATGCATAACATCCATGCTTCCACTCGCCTCTCCCTTCCCGAACGCGTCTTTATAACTAAGAGACCGAAGGTCAGGGTATTCTGGTATATTGCCGATGTGCAAGCTGCCTTTATTAGGAACCTTTATGGGGACCGAGGGATTAAAGTCGCGCGAGTGAGCATTTCCACCAATTGGGGTCTTTGTCAGGGGTCGAAGGATGTGGGTTAGGGTCTTGCGGGGGCGCCAGAGCGTCTGTAGTGTTGCCGCGACTTAAGTCAGGTAGGGAGAAGCACACTTTTACGTTCCGCTCTGTGATTGGTCACTTGCACTAGTTGGTGCAAATATGAAGTGAGGACTGCATGTAAGATGTTAAGATAATGAAAAATCCTGCTTTTTATCTGTATCATTGCAAGATCGAAGTGATAAAATGTGCTCACGTCCATTATAATTTGAATACTTTGGTTATTGACATAATGGTGAGCATGCATGAATTAACAGAACCAACTGAATATTATGAAAAAGTGAATATTTAGGTATACACTTAATAAGGGCCATATATTCATTGATATTTGTAATTGTCAATGTTAAGGAAAGGGCTCACCTTGTTGCGCACGTACATTTTTAGCTGAATGCATTCTGCATCGACCACACTAGAATATAAACATGGCCAGCGGATACATCGCCACGAAGTGTGGCTCATACTAGCAGTCGGGATAACCCAATTAATGATGGATTTGCAGCGCATACACAGATCGTATCGCGGTGAGTTATACGCACGTCCTTGTGTTCTTCGACTCATCACGCTTGCAAGTTGTGACGATGAGCCAAATAAATATGAGCACAAAAGTAGCTGATCGCTCTAGTGTTGGTCGACTGCTATCATTTACTCACTTTCGACTTCGACCGCTAGCACACGTGAGGCAGTCCATCACCTCATCGCTCACCAATACGAACAGGACTGCAAGGCAAAGGCGACGAAACCTGCTGTTGATTTGCGTGTATCCCATCTCATCACACTCATCATCCACACATCTACTTTCGACCGTCATCAGTGTGTGTAATTGCCTTCAAATGAGCAGTGTACAAGGATTTTACAAGCGGACGTCGAAAACTAGGAAGGCTCTTGACTACACTATAACTCGCTTTGTCAAGAGGAGCCCTTCGCAATGCAATGATGATGACGCAGAGAACGTGCATGCGCTCAAGAAGTACTGCTTCACTTGGATATTACGCCTTTCCTCAATACGAAACGCGAGATGGGCACAAATTGCACTCTTCGTATCGGATGCGCCATATTGGAGCTATCGGAGCCCACACAAGATTCGCCGACAGATTGAGCTCAAGCATGAAGTCAATGGGCGACATTGATCTGTACAAAAAATTATGACGTGGTCTAATTGGCAACATGAGAGATGATTCTGAGCCCGTAAAGAGGGCTGAAATAAGGAAATGCTGGTGCGCTACTCTTGACTCATGCATGTGTCGGTGGCTTGCGCATTTTCTTTTAGGTAGTCCAAAAGGTGATGAAGACAACGATTACGATAAAAACCGATGCGCTGTCGTAAGGATGAGGCAGCTGCAACAACAGCCTCATCAATCATAGGTGGAGACATTCAACATACTAAGTTACATTATACGACAGCAATACACTCCGAATGTATCGTCGTGATCAAGTCGATGAGACGATGCGTGGTCTCAGCCGTGTCGTTACAATTGCTACATACACTGTCATAGGCGACCTTTTTCGCCGCCTTTGGTGCGTCATTCGCTCAACCATCCTGGTCGTTTAGCACGACGGTAACGCTCCTTGCAAAGCTAAATGATACCTCAGACAACGAGACACGAACGTGTGTGCAATAAATCACACAATGAGATGCTGCGCGATAGACGGAGCTGTAATGGTGTCGTAAATATTCGTCAATCGTAGCACTGAATGTACGCCACACAGGCGAACAATTACATGTACATACCGTGCAGACGCACGGAAGGAGTCAGTAGAGTGGTGGCTCAATCCAATGCAGGTCGCATCATGATCCACTGTGGCAAAGGCCTACACTGACGTTTGAAGATTGACTCGACATGTACGACACCTTCCGTGCGTCATCTCGTGGCAAGATGGGTTCTGGCGAACCATTTCGTACAGTTGTAGAGGTTTCATGGCATCGATTGCAGGGGTACACTTGTCGCTGGCCCGTATATCTTGAACCTACCTCACGTTCTCCAGTTAGTAACACATTGGGGCGACGAATGGCCCACAAATCAGCTCCGTGTCGACGTCAGCTGGTTACTCTGAAGTTTCAGTTGACCCTATGGTGGTCCGTAGATCGTAAGTAAACCAGGTAAACGACGTACACACACAAAGGTTTTACGCGAAGAAAGTGCGAGTGCCTATAAATCGAGCACTGTATTGAATCGTGTACAATGGATGGTGGTCTGCCGACAAAAAACGATGAGGGAACACTAGAGCTCACAAGTCGATCATCGTTCGCGTGCAAACGACAATGAAGTTTACGCTTCCAGAGAATGCTTTCCCTACGATACATCTGTCGCCGGAGCAAGAAGAGGCCTTTGAACAAGAGGCACAAGCGGTTGTGCACGAAGCTCTACAAGCAAATGAAGCTTTTCTCGCTGAGGGGTCCACGTTTCCAGCTACAAAGTGGAGGTTAGTGCGCAAGAAGGACGGACTGAGCGTGTATAGCGAACGACGGACAGCCGCTACTTGCAGAGCTTCGAAAAGACAAAAGAGCACTCAGCTGCTTTCGCCATCGAGTCAAAGTGCATCGCGGACCACAGCGTCGGACGTCTCGTCTATCTCGTCCGAGGATACGAACGCATCTCTCACGGACTGTCCCGCTATGGTTCTCCATGGAACGGTGGACGGATCACTAGATGACTGTATGTTCGGGACGTTCGCGTCAACAGATAATGCGTGGAAGTGGCGAAGTTCGCACATCAATGACCGCCTTGACGATTCCCGGTTTCTAGCAACTATCCGCAAGCCAACGCGTGAGGACCCGTTTCAGTTCTTGGGGATCAAGTGGTTTGCCAAGGAGAAACCGGCAATACTGTCACGTATTATGCAGCAACGCGACTATCTCATCATGGAGGCTACGGGGCTTACTCGCGACTCGAAAGGCGAAACGGTTGGGTATTGCCTCATGCACTCAATCTCATTGAGTGACGTGCCAGAGCTCACGGAGCTCGGCATCATACGTGCCAAGCTTAGTCTGTGCTTCATCGACCGCCAAAAAGGTCCTGGTAAGGTAGAAAAGTACTGCCGCTCGTTCAGTCAACCCGGCGGTAGAATTCCAGACCGCGTTGCTGCTGCAGTAGGAGCCGATGCTATCATCAGCGCCTCGCGCATTGTCGACTATGCTTGCGTGAAGAAGCTCACGTGGTTTATAAAGAAAAAAGAAAGCACCAACTTGAGCCGCGTCGATACACCGGACAGAGTCGACCCAAGCAGTGCGAGACGTGCTACAAACCATTCAGCACGTTCGCTTCTACTGCGTCCTGCCATATCTGCCAACGAGCTATGTGCGCAAAGTGCAGCGTAGTCAAGAAGTTGACTGTCGACGTGTCGAGCACGGGCGCAGTCAAGCAGTGCGCCCTTCGATTTTGTCTCAAGTGCATCATGGAGGCGAAGGAGCAGTCCGTGTGGGAGATGGCTCTCAGTGGAGTGGCGACCGCGTCCGAGGTCTCGTCGATATCAAGTTCAGCTTCGACCGGAATTTGTCATTGAGATCTGATAGTGAACACAGAGCGGCGGCGCGCACTTGGTGGGTGCCTTGCGCTAAACGAGCGGCATAATAGCAGAACGAATGCTAGTGGTTGTACGTGAATGGGACCGTCGAAGCCAACGGCGCATGATATTCACATTGGGTCGCACTAAGTCAAACCGAACCCTTGTTGAGTTTCGTGAACGTAAATTAAATGTGCTAACACGATTACTTCTTACATTTGTCAGATGCTTTCCAAACCGTCTGCAGGTGAAATTTTGCGGATGATCGAATTAAGATGGAATCGAGGCAGTCTTACATGCTGTATGGCTACGCTCATACCGCTAAATGTCGTGCCAGAACGAATGTCAAGTGCTTTGTAACAGCTGGCGAGATTTGTAGGAATGTTAATACCTGATAGTACGACATGGTAACAGACATGGACAAGCCACGCACTTAATGTCGTAGCGAAGCAATTGCAAATAGCACATGATGAGTTCTCTCTAGTCTACGTCCTGCATGCATGAAAAGTGCTGAGAAGCTATACATACGGTCCAGCTAAATAGTTGAGTCGTGCCCTTCCTGGCAGAATGTAAGTTCTAGCATTTTGTAAACGTACTTTTCAAACCAATTCTTGTTGTTGCAGGGTATGGAAAAGTTAAGTTAGATTGTAGTAATGTGTGCTTTGTACATCAATCATCAAGCGTACATTGCGACGAATATATGGCAATCACGGCGAGGACACCACTGCAACAGCTAAATCTGAAGGATGCAACAGAGATTATGGCGCCAATCGCTTACATCAGCTCGGCGATATCACGTAGCATAATTACGATCTAGCCTTTATAACTTGTATCATGATCGAGTATCGACATTCAACCTCATGCCTGCGTCCCATTAAGCAGTCTATCTAAAAGCTTCCAATTATGTTCGTTCGCAATATTATTCTTGGCTGTATATTATCTATTTCCATCGGCAAATATGCAGAGCTGATGGTAGTTGCTCATCAAATAGTGTATGATTTGTAGGACCTAGCAATTTGGTGGTGAACGTCTTCGCTCTTTTTCTTTTTGTCTTTAATTTGTTTAAACCTTGTACGCGTACCATATCTATCGATACTGTCGACATGGAATTCGCTCTTGCGTCTCTGTCATGTATTCGCGGAGTCTCGACAATCTGCCAAAGAATTGCCGTCAACGAGTATCGCTGGGGAAGTTTTTTTTGTCTTCTTTCCGAACGTGTAGTCTAATAACGTAATGCACTGAAAAGAGCGATTCAACAAAGCTAGTAAATGATCCATGAAAGGCGAGTGAGGTTGGTGTATGGGGATAAGCACGTAACATGCGCTTGACATTGTTGCATTCGTCGATGGAAATATTATCAAACGGGTAGGTATGGACAATAGTACCATTTCAGATAATTGATAGCAGCGATTGACACTTCGCTTATCAACTAAATCTCTTTTTGGCCGTGACTAACCCAATGCAGAACTAGTAAACGGTGACGCAAGTAAAGGTGGTAACCAAACGTGTTGTAGTCTGCGGACGGTTATTTGTTGATTAAATGCTGAATTAATCGATAAAATAATGGAGTACCCTATTCCCTTGACACCAAAGTATATATTAGGTGTCATTTTAAATATTATTGTAAAAATAATATTTAGAAGGGAAAAAAATGCCTCAGATAATTAAAAATTTAAAATGCCTCAAATATTTTCAAAAATATAAAATACTCCAGATAATTGGAAAATTAGAAACATGACCAAGATAATCACAAACTTACATGCCCACGAACTAGTATACCTAAGTTAATGTCATGATGTAGCTTTACTTTTAATCAACTCAAGCGCAGTACATAGATACAAACTTTGGTTCTGGTTATGATGATGTTCCACGCAATTTGTATAAGCACAATACAACCTAATCTAACCCCTCAAAGTAGGTTGTCGCAATTTAAAGTGCAAGTTGCTTAAATCCCATCATTTCGTAACATTGTGTCATTAGTCTTCAAAGCAGCTCGGTAGGAGCGGCACCACACTCGAATGTCTCTAGCTACATTACACACACGCACACGTACACTGTCCGTCACTGAGCACCAGCACGCACGTGTTGCGGGCGTTCTTGCACGCGACCCCATCCAATGCAACGAATGTATCTCTCAGCAGTACCAGCAGTAGCATCATCAACAAATCAACAACAAAAGCAACCGCAGCACCTACAACAACAATAGCATCAGCAACATCTACAGGAGCATCAGTAATAGCAGCAGCAACATCAGCAGGAACATCAACAATAGCAACTAAATCAACAATATCAAGAGAAATAACATGAAAATCAACAACAGGAGCACTGACTCACTGTGTTTACGGCCGCGACCGATGATACAAAGACGCGTTTACGTCCTCGTATCTAGCCCTGCGCCTACAACTGGTGGCTGCAAGCGTAGCTCGCCCGCGGCAAAACACTCTCTGCGGCTTCCCGAATATTGCGATATGGCAGCTATATACTTCGTAGTAAGAGGTCCAATACACATTAGCTGATACAATAGCATCCCGGTGAAATCCCACATATGTGCTAAACGGTCAATATAATGGGTGATAACCAAGATTAATCATACGTTTGGAAGCCAAATGTAGTATAGTAACGTGTATAAGATATTCATCATTTGACATACCATACTATAAGTAATTGATCACACGTTTTGAACAAAGCGATCCCTATGTGTTGACAATTTACAGTCAATTTGGATGAGTCTCCACTGCACCTTTTTACAATCGAAGCAGTGTGCATCGCTTGTACTGTCATCGGTATAGGTTAGGGCGCCCGTGTCCACTTATACCACCGACACTTACACGATATCAAACATGTTCTTTTTTTCATGCAACCAGTGTACTAGTGGATAAAATTTAAGCTAATAACTTTTGAACTCGATATGTATGAGTACCGCGGAGCAAGTATCATCGGTGGTACTAATGAATGAGTCTACACCTCAAGAGATATTGAAACGTACGAATATTGACAATATTTCACAAGCCAATACATATTAACCCTTCTTTTAATAAATCCAAAAACATCACATTTCGATATATTAATTGGCAATTGAATGTAGCACATTGCATTGGATGATACAGGCCATTGCACCTGCCAACACAACCACCAACATCGCTAGACGCGCGCAACGCGTGGCGAGCAAGAACTTGGCCGATAATTTCGTCTTCGCGTAAAATAGCCTATATCAGCCAATTAAGTGTGCTGCTTACTACTGCCAAATTTAACCGTCAGCGGTAATACAATGGATTCTGTTTGTATTATAAATTTGTCTCGTAAATAATATTATTGGGTAAATGGGCTTAGTGAAAATCCTATCACTATACATAGCGCGGTAGCCTCTCCTTGTGTGACATATGAGACCAATTTGTGTTATGTATTTGTTGTGCTGCCTGTACAAAATAAGCTTCTAATACAAATGTTTCTCAAACGATGGAAGGCAATTAGTGTAATGATAATAACATATTAAAGAATAGACAAAAGGCAACAATCATGTAAACTACAAGCACGATGATGCACATGTCAGAATTAAGCGTAAAAACCCACTACATTTTCCTATTGACTTCTTCTCTCGCTTAGAAAGATAGTGTCGGTTGCGAATCCTCGAGGCGACAGTCATTGTGTAGTAAGGCGAGGATACACAGGCTTTGATTCCCCAAGCGTAGACTGACAGTGTCGTCGATTTTGTCTGTAATAACGGCGGTGGATACAAATAGTTGCGATCACTACAATATATCTAACGGTGGTAAAGCACGCAGTAAGCACGCAGTTTGAAATAAATATTACAGTCGCCACAAAGATGCAGCTCATAAATGGAGTACCATTTGGCGTGGTCAGGACAATGATATATTGTAGCTGCGAATTCGATGCAATACTGCAATCTATAGTGGAGAGTCGACGCACACGAGCACAAGCACTAATGTCCTTTACGTCTTATCGACCATGTAGCACAACATGAATGTACCGAATCATCTAACAAGTGATACGGTGGGCCCACTTGCGTTCACAGAGAATAAAACATTATCAGCGAAAAAAAGCAATTTATTAAATTGTAAATAGCGGATAAAGCTTCATGTTCTCAATGAACAATCTCCCTTTCGGTCGTGTCAAACAATAAGATTGCGCATCGACCTTTCGCTCACGACCGATCGCGTGGGTCTAAAATCAATTGATGGCTCGCCTATATGTTGCGGTGTATAAGCCCATGCGCAGCTGGTCATGCTTAACAGCAGTTTGTCAGCAGCCCATGCGCAGCCGACCAACTGTTCTTACGCATGACCTAGGTAATATTTTTCCCATATCACACGTTTGAGTTTATATTGCTGCCTTTTTCGTCAGAACATTTGTAGACCGGCAGCAAAATGACTGTCGATGTCATATTACAGACTTACACCTCTATCGTGTATCTTTGCGAATCCTGTCCAGGTGTAAGTTAGGCGGGCATCCATTTCAATATAATGTGTTTGGTGCTAAAATGTAAGTCAAGTCAGAAAAGTTATTGCAACAACGCACGCAACGCGGCAAAGACGATCATTTTCTAGAATGCCTGCCACATCATGACGTTGTAGGTACGACATGTAGTCTTGCAATGATCATCTGATTGGATGCCGTTTTCTTTTGTGCGAGTGCAAACAACATTTTTTACTCCCCATCTGTCATCAGAGTACCAGAGCAAACACATATAAATCATCTGCTATTCGATGTAGAACAAAACAACCTCTATCGTAGCTCCTGCGGCACATCTATTGACTGCTATTACCGACGTCTGTTACACCAACGCAATTCTAATGT